TTCTAATAAGAAAACGCTTAGTTGAATCTTAAAGAAATGTCGAATTAATAATTTGAAAGTCTTGGGTTCGATTCCCAGGCCGGACTAGTTCGTCGTTTTCTTAGTAATATTTTCTTAATAAAATTCATAAAGGGAATTTTTAAGATATAAGTTATGTTTCCTGGTTCAGTTCCCCGGTTGAGACCACCTTTCCAATAATATTGATAATTTAAAGAAATATTAAAATAAAGTTAAAGACCAGGATTTGTACCCCGGTCGAAATGATCACTTTGTGAATAAGTGGAATTAATGTAAAATAATTGCATAAGCATTGCTTAAGCTTATATAAGTTTGATACGTTTTGTACGAAAGTAAAATGTCTATTTTCAACGTTTGGTTCATGGAATATTTTCCTTGTGTTATCTGATAAGAACCTGATAACTGATAACAACTTTGATAACTTATAAGAGATTCTTATTGGATACTACCTTGCCGACAATGGGGGTCGTATAGGAATCAGTTACTCATCTTGTGGTAATGGTCAGCAGAGAAATAGGCTAAAATTGCCACCTGCTTTACCGACAACGAGGTGTGGGGTGAAAGTTAGTTGTTCATCTAGCTGCAGATAACAGCAGCGCGCTAATCTGTAGAATTAAAGTTTAAATAAACGGAAATTTAAATGTTTGTAAATTTCTACAATTTATGTAAAATTGACTTGTAAAATGTTTCAAGTTGACTGTATGAGCAAAATAGATGAATTCTGTGTTGTTTTCATGTATAAATTCCTATGGAATAGTGAAATATTGATAGTTTTGTATAAGAAGTTTAAAAGTGTTTTAAATGGTAAAATATATAAGAAAAATGTAAATTAAACTATTGTATTAGTTAAGATATTTGTATTTTCAAATAAAGAACATTGTTTCAACCTTATATGTTAGATATTTAAGAATTCTAACTTAGTGCATATGTTGTAAAATATGCATATTTTGTTGAATAAATAAAAGGTTTTTTGTAATATGAAAATGTAATGGATATCGTAGTATAGATATTTTTTGTATCTTCTATCTTTATAAATAAAATGTATAAATGTATGTCTTATACAAATAAAGATATTGAGCAAACCGTGAGGGAGTAATAGTACAAATTGATGTAATTAAGTTGCGAAATTGCATAGAGGGCGCGGCTCTCTTTCGAGTATAGCCTTTTTGATACCCCGTTAGACTGATTTTCATGCAAATCGTTCGGGACCAGCTACCAGTATATAATATAATCAATAAAAAAAAGGATATAGGGAAGTGATAGGGAAAGTAATTACTCTCTCACGGAACGGTTTGAAGATAATTGCTGTTTTATTCCCAAGGGATCCTTCACCTTTAAAAATAAGTACAGTCCTTCTGGTGTCGCCGGAGCGGCACATATTGAAGAATTAAGGCGTTGGGACCGGGACGACCTCGGAAGATCCGTAATCCCCGTCTGAACCTATTTGAAGAAAAGGAAAAGGTTCACGCCCTTGTGTGTTACTCCGTTGCGGGGTTCACATACGTTGTTCCCGAACCCAACGAAGGCGTATTAGGCAGGATTTAGCTCCGTCCTTTTCAATTGATCCTTTGAGGAGAGGTCTATGTCCTTTTCAATTGGTCCTTTGAGAAGATGGATTAAGAAGCGATTTAACTTCCTGTGTTTCTTTTAATTGCTCCTTCGCAGCCGAAGGAAGAAACGATTCAGCCCTGTTCCTTTTCAATTGGTCCTTCGAGAAACAGTTAAGAATTGGCCCGCCTGCCAAGCGTGGCAATTATGGCAAATATCCTTCTTATGACGCAATCTATGGTGAGGATTCAGCAGTGAACTTGATGGGCTGTAATGAATTAATAAATCAGTGATGATGAAAACAAAAACTACAAAAATAAAACGCCCCGATATGAAACCCTCCATTTACATTTATGCCAGCTAATACGACAAGGGAAATGCCAATATTTTTTTTTATAGGAGATGGGGCAAACGTGCATGCGTCTCACCACCTTAATCTGAACAATTCCTCAGAGCACTCCCCGTGGTAAATGCGAAAGAAAATGCAAAGAGATGCAACATCTCTTCGCAGCGCCAATGAATCGAGCTGATCGGAAAGGACTCGGTCGTCGACGATTTGCGCCGATCTGCGCTGGATACGGTCAAGTGGAAGGAGCTGGCAATGGGGAGCCCCAGCCCAGAGATGGAAACAGTATTCCATGTGAGGCCGAACCTGCGCCTTGAAAAGTTGCAGGCGTTGTGCCGGCATGATATACTGTCCCGCTCTGCTGAGTACGTCAATCTTTTTAGAGGCCAATTTGATCTTCTCTTCCAAGTGACCACGAAACTGCACGTCACTCGATATGTCGACGCCGAGGATCCCGTGAGGCAACAAGGGGAGTGCCTAGAAACTGAGGAGATACGACTAAGGGGTTGTTTTTAGCGGTAAACGCGCAAAATTGTGTCTTCTGAGGATTAAACTGGACTAGATTTAGTCGCCCCCAATCCGAGACTTTGTTCAGCAAAGACTCGACTTCAGACACAGGTTTGTTCCGGTACTCGGCGACGTTTCCCCGAGAAATATTGGCACGGCCGGTGTATAGAGCATCATCAGTGCTGTCATCCGCATACCAATGAATGCTACCGGTTTGCAACATATCATTGATATGCAGAAGATAGCACACAACCTTGTGGAACACCAGCGTTAATAGGCTTGTAGTCCGAGCATGAACCGTCTACAACGACCTTGATGCTCCAATCTGCAAGAAAGCTGGTGATCCAATTGCACAATTTCTCGGGAAGCCCATAGGAAGGGAGCTTCGAAAGAAGCGCTTTGTACCAAACCCGATTGAAGGCCTTCGCAATCAACAAACTAACGGCCAATGCCTCCACCTTGGACGCTACTGCCTCCGCCCATCTATGAGTCAAGTAGATCAGAAGATCACCAGCTGATCGACCCCAACGAAAACCGTATTGGCGGTCACTAATCATTTGGTGATCCTCAAGGTACCGCATGAGGTGGCAGGTTATAACAGATTCCATTATTATGGAGAACAAGGGGGTGATGGCCATAGGCCTGTAGTTGCACGGGTCTGAGCGGTCGCCTTTTTTAGCCTAGGGAGTAGAAGTACCGGAAAAGACGCGTTAGGACCGGTGCCAACTCCGGAGCACACGTCCTCAGCACAATTGGGGGATTCCGTCAGGCCCACTCGACTTGTGGGTGTCCAGGGAGAGGAGTGCTTTGCGGACCGATCGCTGTGAGAACCGCACATCCGGCATGGAGCACTCTCACCGCGGGATGGTCGGCGGTGTGTTCTCCCCGTCATCAAGAGTCGAGTTGGACGCAAAAAGGGAGTCTAAAAGGTCGACTTTCTCTTTTGCTGCGTGAGCCAGTGAGACGTCCTCCCTGTGCAGAGATGGTAGTGATGGCTTACAGAAATTCCCTTGGACAGCCTTGGCGAGAGACCAGAATGCACGGGTTCCCAAAGGAAGGCGAACTAGTTTTTCGCCTATTCCGCCTATGTGCTCTGACTTTGCCTTGGCAATAACTCTTTTGAAGGACCTGGAGGTAAAGTTATGCTTCTTTTTAAGCATGCTGGTGCTTACATCCCGATCCGCCAAAGCCTCAGCCCAGGGCTGATAGCACTTCTGCTTACTGCGTAATGCATTCTTACAGGAGCGACCAAACAAAGGCTGAGATCTGCCTCCGATGGGTACCACAGATGGTGGAATAAATAGTTCCATTCCCTGTAGCACCACATCAGTGACAGAGTCAGCAACAGCGCTGGGATCATCCGGCGAGAAGCAAACCCGTCCCCATGGGTAGGATGCAAAGAAAGATCGCATTCCGTCCCAATCCGCCGAGCTGTAATGCCGAACACGGCGGCAACCTGCAGAACGCAACGGCTAGGGGAGCGGGAGTGGCACCACACTCCGGATCAGACAATGGTCTGAAGAGCCGAGAGGGGCATCGACGGAAACCTGATATCTGTCCGGATGAGAGGTCAGCAGAAGGTTCAACAGGAAAGGTGTATGATCCTCTACATCTGGAATCCGCGTAGGCGAAGTAACCAGTTGTGTCAGACCATATGCCAAGGCAAAGTCATAAACAGATCTCCCCGCATGATCGGTTAAACGTGAACCGAGCCATTTGGTGTGGTGGGCGTTAAAATCGCCAAGAATCACGATCTCTGCGGATGGGACCTGTTTTAGCAAGGAATCTGTAGCCATTTGGAGGTGGTAGATGAGTCGGTCTGTTTAGGCATTACCGCTATAGGACCTATAGAGGCACCCGTAGACGCGCGGATGGTCGTCGCTATCTACGCGTAGCCAAAGGATGGACAGGTCCGAACCCTCAAGACTGCCGAAGCGTCGAGAACAGATGTCCTCTCCGACGTGTACGTAAACTCCAGCCCGAGGTACAAAGGAGTGTTCTAATTTGTACCCCGGGTAGGAGAGATACGAAGTATCAGCCGGAGAGGACACCTGAGTCTCGGTTAAAAAGAGCAAGGCCGGCTTCGCCGTCTCGGGATGGTAGTGGACGGCGTCTAGGTTCGAGTGAAATCCCCTGATGATGCAGAAATTCGCGGATAGCGTGGCAGGGATCGCCTTGGTCTTGTTGCTCAGTTTGTCTCGAGCAGTTATTGTGTTGCGCGGAATTTTGTATTGTTAATTGTTGTTGTGTAAATAATGTTAGTATATTGTGATATTTTGAAAGCGCAAGTAGGTACAATGGCCTACGTTCGGTCTACGACTGAATTCGAGTCCCAATGCAGTGCAGCGTAAACAAAACGCCCTAACTGCCACCCTAACTAGGGTCCTGACTTAGTGCCCTATTTATAGTATAGTCTAATCGGCGATTGATTTTGGACACTGAAATAAAACGATAACTTCATACTATTTTTTGATAAATTCATGTTAAATTCATATTAATTTTTTGTTGCAACTAAAGCCGAATAATGCTTTTTAACGTTAACTTAAAAAGTATAAAAATTAAGATCGATTAAAAAAATGAACTAATAGTATCTGTTTTTATTTGAGAAAAAATTATACATTTGAATAAAGAATGTCACAATGAAAAAATAAAAGAATTCAATTCCAGTGATAATGGACAATCCCATTAAAATTCCGGCAACACCGCCGCCGTTACCTGTAAAAATATTCAATTTTAACTTCGGTTTTTATGACATTATTTTATGAAACTAAACCTTACATTACTACGCTATATTATTATCTTATAAAATTGTATACTATCAATAGCTTAGGTATATACCTTAGCGGTTTTTAAATGCTTGTTATGATAAACAAATGAAAAAATCTATTATTTATTAACTATTAGCGTTTAGTTGAATGGAATAAAAATGCAATAAATCAGTGAGAAAAAAACACGTTGTGTTAAGAAAGTGATCCATAGCTTACACCTAATGTTTTTTTGGTAACATAATCCACCAAATAAAGATAAACGGAGTTGTGATAGAACAGAGGTAATACAGTGAAAAGTTTATATTTGTTATATACAAAACATTTTTGACACTGGGTGCAAAACTTCAGAACTTCGGGTACCTCAATTAGTAAATGTTTTTGAATACGATCTAGGTACCTAGTGCCTGTGGCATTGTATGCGTGGGATTCGCTTATGAAAGGAAGGTGTGTAGAGTAGAATATAAGAATAGTTTGTTACCATAGAATACAACAGATGGAATTGTATAGAATTGCATAAAGTACTTCTACTTTATATTCAATATGCATTATAAACAATACTTATAGGAAGTCATTTATGCTTTTATAACTACATATCAAGGACTTTGTTGTTCAAATGTAAGTGAAGTAGAGTAACTGTTTACTACGAGTAGTATGTATAACAGATGGATCATATCTTGAACTAGACTGTCTAGGACAGGTATTCCCAAAGTGGTTTCCCAGGGGTCGACATAAACGAAAACTGATTTTGGGGGCAACGAGGTGTAAAAATTGACCCCTATTAATTAACACAAGTTTTTATATTTTAATGTTTTTTTTTTCAAAAAAAATTACCTACTCCAATATTTTTAAATGATTTGTATTAATAATTATTAATTACGCTTGATATTTACTGAACTTTATGTCTATCTATTTTGTTAAATTTAGATGAGAAAATGATATCAAGTTTACTCACTTAATCAATGACAATTAAATAACAAATAATAAAAGTTTTAAAAATTTTAAGTATTTTGTATCAATAGGAAAAAAATTAGACATAGGATTTTTAAAGTAATTTGGCTATGGGCGTCTGGGGTCTCTTGCCCAAAATAGTTTGGGAATCCCTGGCCTAGGATCTAATCATTATACGAAGTGTAAAACATTATCGGTGGTAAAAGAGAGCATGTTGAGGAAACCTGCATGTTTGAATCATAAAATAGCGATATATTTTAAAAGCATATGAAGGCTGCTATACGAAGCTGCTATACGTATATATATGAAGCTTCATATTGGGCTGCTCCTGGTACTCTTTCTCTTTTCTTATTTTTCGTGTAAGTAAAACATGAAAAGTAAGAAGAGACATGAAAACGTTTCCAATACCCAAAGCTCCGCCCCGGCTTCGCAAAGGTGATTTCTGGATCTCGACAACAGCGCCACCTACCATGTACAATTGTGAATCGCATAGATTATTGAGGGACCCAATCAAACACACACAAACAATGTCATCAATATCGGTCCAGTAATTTTTGAGTTTTTGTGAGACTAACTGAAGTGAAGGCATAAATATTTTATTTAATTATTTTTTTACATTACTTAAGGTTTGGTTATTTATTTGACCAACTTATCGAAAAACAATCGCTTGCCGTGTATGTCTAAAAATAATATGATACCAATACCAATACCTTATACACGGTATCAAAATCGGTAAATTTCGACAAGGTGAACGTTGCATCACTTGCATCACTATCGTACCAATAAATTACCAAAGGCCTTACTAAATAAATCGTAATCAGATAAAAATTTAATGGCATGGAAAAGATGTAACACAATTAAGTTAAATGACTATCTTTACTTACTGAGCAGTTCAAACCAGTAGGCGACAACGTCTAAGCGATCTAAGGTGCCATGAAACGTGGGCTGGTAAATGGACACCGTGCACTTATTTGTCATATTTGTTCCATTACTGTACATAAAATAAATTATAATAGGGTTATTTTTTTAAATATAAATTCTCTACTGCGTTGAGGGTAAAGATGAAGTACTGTTGTAGTGTGATTGCGGTATGAGATGCTCTATCAGAAAACATTCTTCACAAAATTTTCTTCCGTAGGTGTCGTAAAAAGCAACCGAGAGATATCCGCCCGTGCGAGATTTATCGAAGAATAGTGGAATACGAGGGTGACACTGAAAGTACTTAGAAAATCAAAATCTGAACAAACTAGTAAGTCTAGTTATATTATATATTTTCAAACTAGTTTGCATTTACATCAATACATCACCACTGAAAAAAGCACTTTGCTCACTCGTCCTTAGGGTTTTCTTTGAGGGCATTTTTAAACGCAGCCACTACTTCCTCCGCGTCCATAAAACATTTTTTCGAAGTTTTTCTTTTATTTTCAGAAATAAATAAAAATCGCAAGGTGCGAGGACGGGGCTATAGGGTGGGTGATCTAGTAATTCCACGTTTGACGTCGCCAAGTGGTCGATTATTTGCTTGGCGGTGTGCGGCGAGGCGTTGTCTTGGTGAAGGAGGATTCTACTGCGAGGTCCTTTTTCCAAGACTAGTGGCAAACAATTGTTAGTGTACCACTCTGTAGTAAATGGTTTTTGATCCTCTAAAACAATTGTTGCGTAATCACCTGTTCGGTACGACTTTCCATTGACGTCAGTGGAGTTTGGTGTTGATACGTATTTTTACAGAAAGATTACACTATCATAAGCACACACACAAAGTCTCAATATACGGAAACGCGTAATTTTTGAGAAAATAATTGAAAATCAATTATTCTTGCAATGTTTATGTCTAATCTGCTAATAAACTGGTGCCATTTTGTAATGTTATTGTCGACGTTAATAGGGATGTCGATTCTTTCCGAAAAAGGTCGATTTTTAAATCGATTCAATTCGTAAGCTGATGTATCGATTCCTAAAAAATCGATTTCTAAAATATCGATATTTTATTCATGTTTGCATTTATAATGTAAATATAAATCCATTTTATGAGAAAAAAAACCCCTTCATCATAAAAAAATAAGGGGACTGATTCATAAGGATTTCTGTATCTATTTTGAGACTGCTACATCTCCGGCGCTGCGGGAAGAGCAACCTCTACGCCTTAGCGTAACAAATCGCAGGCATCCCTCCTCGCCTCCGCAGCTTCGGCTTGTTGGTCGCCTTCAGCGACCAGCCTCAACCGCTCCGGCTCGTCCGATGCTTACGATTTGTTACAGCAGGCGGAGGCTGCTCCCCCTACGCGCCTCCGGCTCTATAAAACCACTCTAGGGGTAGGACAGACTCGTACCAGGTGGAGTCGGGGTCAATCAATTCGGTTCTTTGACATAAGTTGAACCTAACCTATTTTATTTATCTGCCCTAATAGGTACTGTTAAATAAAACAAATTTCAATAAGAGATCATTTATCATGGTATCTTTCTTGTTTCTCATAAAATGGATTTATATTTACATTATAAATAGAAACATTAAAAAAATATAGACATTTTAGAAATCGATTTTTTGTGAACCGATACATCAGCTTACGATTTGAATCGATTTAAAAATCGACCTTTTTCGGAAAGAATCGACATCCCTATTGACGTCGACAATGACATTACAAAATGGCGCCAGTTTATTAGCAAATTAGACGTAAACATTGCAAGAATAATTGGTTTTCAATTATTATTTTCTCAAAAATTACGCGTTTCCGTATATTGAGACATTGTGTGTGTGCTTATAATAGTGTAATCTTTCTGTAAAAATACGTATCAACACCAAACTCCACTGACGTCAATGGAAAGCTGAGCCACCTGTTCTTCCGAAGAACGAGGCCACCATCTTTTTCCCACGCTTCGACCTCTCTTCACTTTAGTTGGCAACTCCTCGGAAGAAAACACCCAGACAGCAGATTGTCTCTTAGTTTCAGCCTCATAACAATAAATCCAGCTTTCGTCACCCGTAAGTATATCGAACAAAGCATTTGTGTCACCTCCGTTAAATCTTTGAACCATTTCACAACACCAATCAACACGACAGAGTTTTTGGGCCTCTGTCAAATTATGAGATAGCCACAAAGCTTCCTCTGACCGCTAAATGTTCATGGAGAATTTTGTGCACTTGACTCATACCGATGCTTAAGCTTGTCCGAATCTGCTGATAAGTCACTGTTTCGTCAGTCTCTATCATACGCCGCACAACGTTGATGTTATCTTCAGTCGTCGCCGTAGAAGGCCGTCCCTCACGCAAATCATCAGTGAGATTAGTGCAACCACGTTTAAACTCAATAAAGTAGTTGTAAACAGTGGCAAGAGATGGGGCTTCATTGTGAAAGGCCAATCGAAGTCTATCATAACTTTCTTGTTGATTTAAATGACATCGAAAGTCATTGTACGAAAATTTTCTCGCGTTAAATTCATGCTGACGTGACGTAACTGAATCGTAAACAAATGACATATTATTAAAATAGATATAAATACACAATAATATTGGCAAAGAGTTCCATTTTCAAAATTTGAACTTATTTTTTTTTTGGAGTTTATGGCCTGGTATCTAGACCTTTAGGCCAAGTCTTAAGTATTTTTATTCGGTTTATTGTAATTTCCCCACTCCTTCATAGTATACTGCTTCACAATATGTTGATGCGTCACATTGTGCAGTTCTTGGGAGATTTTGGCGGCAACTTGATCCAGCAGACAGCTGATAGTTGGCGATGGTATCTAAAGGTGCCTATGCAAACAAACAGCTTATCTTGAGAATCCATCACCATCAGAGCACTTGTTTCACTGTTTCCACTAATAGTTCACATGCGTAGACACTTAATACACAAAATCGCAACACTTTTACATATCAAAGTCCACTTCAAACCATTATTTAAACAATAATACAGGAGCAGCAAACCGCCGCCGGTCAATTTCCCGCCAAAACTGAATTTTTTTTTTATTATTATTTTTTTTTTGGAGTTTATGGCCTGGTATCTAGACCTTTAGGCCAAGTCTTAAGTATTTTTATTCGGTTTATTGTAATTTCCCCACTCCTTCATAGTATACTGCTTCACAATATGTTGATGCGTCACATTGTGCAGTTCTTGGGAGATTTTGGCGGCAACTTGATCCAGCAGACAGCTGATAGTTGGCGATGGTATCTAAAGGTGCCTATGCAAACAAACAGCTTATCTTGAGAATCCATCACCATCAGAGCACTTGTTTCACTGTTTCCACTAATAGTTCACATGCGTAGACACTTAATACACAAAATCGCAACACTTTTACATATCAAAGTCCACTTCAAACCATTATTTAAACAATAATACAGGAGCAGCAAACCGCCGCCGGTCAATTTCCCGCCAAAACTGTTTTTTTTTTTTATTATTATATCGTTTACAAAGTGGCCATTTCTAAAAACTTCCAGTGCCGCCCTCGTAAAGGTGAAAACACATTGTGTTTTCACCTTTACGAGGGCGGCACTGGAAGTGTCGGCTAAAATGTGAACTGTCATTCACATTTTAGCCGATTTAAAAAAAGAAGGAGATTATTACAATTGGATTTGTGATACGATTGCATGTTCTTTTTTTGTATGTTTCCGCGATATATTCGTGCGAAAATCAACAGAATCTAGGAATATTTTATATTTCATCAAATATCTAAAAATCTATGAAGAATTTTCTAATATAGTAAATGGAAGAACTATAGGTTGTTAATATTATTAAGTAGAATTTTTTTGTTTAAAATAAAAATGTAAATTTTTTAATCGCCTTAGAAAATAAGTTTGCTAAAGAAAAACTTCATTTCTTCATATAAAACTTAATTTTAATTAAAATTGAAAAACTCCTAAAAATCTAATTATTAATAATCAGTGTTGCCACCTCTTACATTAATTAAACATCGACATCGATTGTTCATACTTAAAATGAAATGTAATTGTAAAATTATCTTGCTGCGGTATGAGGTCCCATGTTGTTTGCAAGTGTTCGTAAAGTTGTTGTTCCATCGTCAAATTTGGCGGGAAATCTCTCAAAGCAGTAATATATCCCAGGCATGCTCGATAGGATTTAAGTCGGGCGACTGTGCAGGCCAATACAAAACTTAAATGTCGTAGTCTCGGAGAGCGGCTGACACCAGATGCGCCTTATGGGAAGGAGCATTATCGTGCATGAGTAGAAATTTCTGGATTCTGTGTGGTACAATAACAGGCTCTACTACCTCCTCGTGGTATTTTTGTGCAGTCATGCTGCCTTGGATCCAAGCGAGCTGGGTTCGTTCGCCAAGACGAAATCTTGCCCACACCATGATTGTCCCGCCTTGTTATGAGTGTACCTCCTGAGGGTGCCGTAGACGGCTAACTCTCTCTGGAGTTCTCCAAACGCGTGTTCTTTGTGAATCCGGATGAAACCCAAACCAGGACTCATCGGTGAATAGCACCAAAGACCATTGTTCGTCACTCCATGGTAAATGCTTCCGAGCCCATGGAAGCCGCCGACCGCTATTGCCACGTCGCAATGCTGGACGTAGCGTAGCGGTCTTTGAGCATGAAGACCAAATATTGATTGAAAAAACTTGATTTGTTTTAAAAGTACATAAGATTAAATTGTCTTTATACTTAATGAGATTATACTAAATCTCATAATGGCATTACTGCATTTATTGGATTCTGCCTACCTCTCTCAAATTGTGAGGATGGCCACATTGGGCGGTGGTATTAGTATAACAATTAAAACATGGACCTAAAACATAAGGTGCTAGTCGTCGCCAGTTGGGATATAAAACGTATTCATTATATTATCTTTGGCATATAAATTCTGTTAACTAAAACGCAGTGATTGTTTTTTTTTTGTTTGTCTCATAAAAAACTTTACTCCCACACTAGGATTTTCTCCCGTATGTGGAGGCAGTTTACAAACACAAATTGCACAAGGACAAACATCCAGACCTGGAACAATTATTTGCAGGTCATACAAACACTTGTTCCGTGCGGGATTCGAACCCGCGGCCCCCAGCGCAGTAACTCATTGCTTAGCCACTGCGCCACGGAGCCGTCAAAATAATTTTAAGTCCCTATATACGAGTACATCCCACTGATGGGCATTTCTGAGAGGGTTTGAGGGCAAAGAAATGTCCACCGCGCTGCTCCAATGTGTGTTGGTGAACTTTACATGTCTTTGAAATATTTTTTTCTTATTTCTCAGATATGCAGGTTTCTTCACGATGTTTTCCTTCACCGCCGAGCACGTGGTAAATCTGCACTTAAAATTGAAATCGAAACCGTGTTGCTCGCGTCTAGCCCCTGAGCTACCACGGTGATTATATCGGATAATATACGTCAAAAAAATTCGTGATTATTATCGCATTATTTAATTATTTTCCCATTTTACCATCTTCGGCGGCAGTAATATCTTCTATCAGGTGGGATAGCAGTCAAGCACTGGTTTGTAATAGGAAAAAAAATTACTGACTAGCTGATACTCGCGACTTCGTCCGCGTTACTTGATATATTAACAAAGTTTTCGTATGTGCGAAGCAAAAAGCACCAAAAAGATCGCAAGCAAAAATATACTTTGCTTGCAAATTTTTTTTATAAACAATGTTATTCGTTAGCATATAATGTTCACTGAACAGGTAGTGCTTATAAAAATCGTTGTTTCTTAAAACTTAAAACTTTATATTAAATGAAGATATTGCAATAATAAGGGCCAAGTGTCCAGGAAATAAAACTTAGAAAACCTAATTGAAATCTATCCAGTAGTTTTTCCGTGATGCGCGCACAACTGCAAACCTCTTTCTTTATCAAATTATTTGGAATAATCTGCCATGGTCGAAAGTTGACAACGAAAGAACCATTATCTCCTAGATAGATTTTATCCGATAAGTTAAACATATTCTTTCTTTTTCATAAAGTAATTTCCGATTTTATATCGTGATGCAAAATATATAAATGTATAAAACTAAAGGGTATACATACGTGAAAGGCTTCCGAAACTCTTTATGCCCTTTATCGATTTCTAGTTGCACTATAGGTATTTTGTAAGCTTTAGTGTTGTGCTTAGTGAATTCGCAGTCCAGTAAACAGTCGGGGCAGTACAACGAATCTTGGAATTCTATGTCTAGTCCGTCTGCATCTGCACTCATTGGATATACAAGAGGTAGTTTGTCTAAAATATAAATATTTATTTAGTTTATAACGCTCCTTTTTGTGTAGGATCCCGACCCGGTCCCATCATCTCGACCATTCCAGCCGCCAAACAGAAGTACACCCCCCACTCTTCTGTTCCGAAGGGTAAGGCAGTCAATATAATTATTAGCTCTAAGGCACTTCACCTTAATTCTATGGGATGCACTATACGTTATCACTAACTTGTAGTTTTTGTGAGCGCAGAAGCGATACTCTCGCGCTGGTAATGCACTTACCATATATGTTAGGAATGAGTAAAATAATAAAAGAAAATAAGAAAAATTGAAGATGGCAACACTGCTGTGCAGCCATTGTTAGATGGGTCCGTGTTTGCTTCAGAGTAAATTCTAATTATTTTATTTAAATCATTTTGAGAATAGTTTCTAACATCAGAAGTAAAATAGTTTCTAATATTATAAACATTTGATTCCCTAGGGACAACAATTGGAGGTATTAATATCTTATTAACATAACATATAACATAAACTCTCACACCTGGCACTCTCACGTCTGTCACTAAAAAGGAGTAGGTAGAGATTGCTGACTCCCTTTTGGCACAATCCCAAGATACCTCTCTCGCTTCTTGTAAATGCATATATTTACATGTATAGTATGTGTATAATACGAGTACGTAGTAATAGTACGTGAGGGTAATATGGTCATACGGTTAATATGTTCACTTTCTTATAACTCAAAAACTACAGCCTTGTTTGCATAGATAACTTTGCGATGCGATAGCTCTTCATCAGTCAATTGAATAATAAAAGGTCAAACGGGCGCTGCTTTATCGAGTTGCCATTATGGTAAATATTTTAGTCGATTTATTTTAGTATGTAGTGTAGTTAGTATTTTTTAAGATGATTTTTCAGTGTTCCTGATTATTGCCAAAGCTTATTTGTTTTTTTTTTAATATATTACTTATAGTATATGATTGTGTTTTTATCTTTGTCTTCCTCCTGGTTTAGGTTTTATAGGAAGGCAAAGCTTAAGTTGTCCATATTACCCTCACGTACCTTACATGCTCTTCTTAATTTGGCCCCTCTTTAATACATGTATCGCCAATCGGGGCGATAAACTTCTTCTTTTACTTTCTTCATCATCTATATAACCAGAATTAAATTAATATATTATCTAGTACATTTAGCCATGCTGTTTTCTTCAACTTTCATTTGTACCTCATTATGTATTATACAATGACATATTATTATTCCAGTCATTATTTATTTTACTTATGCCACTTCTGTTGCATCTTGTAACCGTTCTATTTTATACGCTGTAACCGAGTAGTAGCCACAAATGTGAACTACGGCAAACCCTTGTATCTACCACTGCGCTATTCGTTCTACTATCCACCATAATTATGAAATCTATCATCATTATATTTTTTCATCTTTTCCATGTATACTTCTTACGAAAGAAAATATTTGTCACAAGGAGATTTCTTTAAAAGCATACTGTGGGAAGGATGGAAATAGTTTTATATTTGGTCGCAGGCTTAAACAGACGCTCTGTTTCAATAAAGAACTGCGGCAAAAATAAGCGAACTTAAATGTTAAGTATTGAATTTTGCCAAGATTGGCGTTGCAGCTAAGAGACTTTTTTAGTTAGAAAGAATACTATTAAACCACATTTTGTAATAAGATGGAGTATGATTAGAAAGATATCCTGATTAATTTTGACTATTAACTATTTTATTTTGGTAAAAAGAATTAGAGTATCATGGTGGTGTAAGGGAATACAAACCATTATTTGGTCCGGTGCTATTAAAAAGGATAGAAGAAACTCATGGTCTTCGACGGATGGCGGTTTAACCATTTCTTATATATCTGATTTTTTTACCTAGACAGGCGACGCCGAGTAACATAAAATTTTTAATACTGCTATTTCCAATACGACTGTCAAGAACGGTGATTATGACAAAATCTCCATTAAAATGGAGGATTAAAATCTGTTATGGGTCAGGTACATACCTTTATGTTTGTTAAGGCAAGGTATCTCATTCAACGTGCAAGTGGGTATGTCAGAAGAAGTCGGCATGAAATACGGAGTGCATTTGCATAGTGTCTGCACGGCTTTTATGCGGCAATTGACGATGCAGGCGCTGTAGGAGTACATGTTGTTGAATTTCTTTTTTCGTTCATCATGGAAGAGACATTTCCTCTGATGTTGAAGAGAAAATGATAATTAGTATTTCCTAATTCGTTTCCTTATTAATATACCCGCCCCAGTTTCGCCAGGGTAGGATCTATTAATGTGGTGTTATTTATATTTAAGATAATCATCAAATTGTATTTATTCCTTCAATATTAAAAACAATAATAAGTGACAAAACTTCTACGTCGATGCAGTCAGTCAGCGCCCTGACAAAAGGTGTGAGTGCCGTGCCTAGGCAAAATTGAGGGTGCAAAGATCCGGTTGTGCATATGGCTGCACCATGAAACGGTGTCGGGTCCGGGCAGCTCCCGATAAGTGACGCCCATAAAATGGATAATGGCACAACGAGGAACGCGCATAGGGCCGCTGCCTGGAGGTCGCCAGGGAGTGTTTGGAGCTAGTGCTGGACGTGACAGCATGCGGACCGCCAGCCAAGCGCGAGGAGCTGCACGAATACCTCATAGCCCCTCGCATCCATCATCCCCGCCAGATGGCTCGGTGTCCTTCTGGACTCGCGGCGGGTGCCACTGGTGGAGTACGCCGCATGCGTTAGACGAAGAAAATGAATTCAAACGTATTGCGGGCTTATTTCAGGGCGAAAGGGGAAGAAATTGGAGGTTTTGCGTACCGGGCTAGGATGCATCACTATTTTGCTGAGCTGGAGCCGCCTGTTACCGTCACCGATCAAAACTTGGCAGACCGAGTTCGGTACATCATGCGCTCAAAAATATTTGATGATGCCGAACTTGAACGGCTACGACGTGAGGATGTTTCGTCGTCGAATGGAAATACTAGGAGAGGAGATACGGATCTACGAGTTGCAGAGCAAACCGCACACGTAGATGCCACCGTAGATCTCCTTGTGGTTGACTCAGACGACGATGGAATAGTCACCCAAGAACAAGAGCAAATGAGGAGCATTTTGGAAGGGGCGATTAGGGAAACGCGCAGTACGCCTCTCGAGAATCTACCGCGACTTCGGGGCATACCCCTAAGTAAGCGGAATCAGGCTGTTGTGAGGGCTCTAAGCCCAATGCTGGTGACATATTTGGAAACCACCAGGACCTTTGCGATACGGACTCAATTCTTTTTGGCGCCGCAATGACAGTATGCCGTATTATTGGCGCCAAGCTCCCCACGGCGGGACGTGCTACTACAAAAAGTAGTGCCATCCCAGCCTGGAGAAGAAAAATTGAAAACCGTATCGCAAAGACAAGAGCCCTCGTCGGCAGACTGACAAACTTCAGGTCAGGCAATAACAGGCCAAGAATTGTCCGCACACGTCAGGATGGCGTTTGCCTTTTGACTCAAAAACTGACGAAGCGCATAGGAAAGTGAATTCGGCGATATACAGTGAGGTCGGACACGGTTCAACCAGAATCGTCTCTTCCAGAGTTATCAGAAGAGGCTCTGTAAATCTTTGGAGCGACCAGTGGTACGTGAAACGGGCCTAGCACCGAAACAGGCCGATACTGTCGCATTCTGGCTCGGTCTGTGGTCAGAGCCCGAAAACCACAGCGAGAGCCCTTGGACAGAAGTTGAGGCAAGCCAGTGTGCTAATGTTACACCTATGGACCCCGTCATCATAATGCCGGACGACGTAGCTGAGGCCCCAAAATGGAAAATTGCGGGACTCGACGGGCTGCATCACTACTGGTTGAAGGGGTTCGTGGTGTGCTACGCTGTGCTCGCCCGACAGTTTCAAGAGGCTCTCGACCAGAAGTCGCTCCCGAGCCTCTTCACTACTGGGATCACTCATTTGGTTCCTAAAGATCAGGATACCACAGACTTGAGCAAATACCGCCCAATCACGTGTCTACCTACAATATACAAGATATTAACATCCATTTTGAGCGCGAGAATCACTCGTCACCTGAACTCAAATCAGGTGATGTCGTGCGCTCAAATTGGATGTCGGGGCGGTGGTCGTGGAACCAAGGAACCACTCCTTATTGACGCGATCATTGGCAAGGTGGTTAAACGCAACCGTCGGAACTTCTCCGCCGCCTTGATAGACAACAGAAAGGCATTCGACACATTCTCTAGGCGAGCGGATGACGGCTGCGGAGTACCACGTAAGGATAAGAAGGGGTATCCTCCAGGACGACTGTTTGAGTCCAATTTGGTTTTGCCTCTCTCTGAACCCTCTCAGTACCTTATCAAAGGCTGGCATTTTCCAAATATGCCCAAGGGATGAATTGAGCGATATATTCTTTTACGCCTCAACACCGCAGAAGTAATCTCGTATATGCCATAGGCTTCTACTTCGTCCACTTAGTACAGTCTATTATATCCGTGTTGAAAAAAGTCAGCCGGCATATTTCACATACCTGGACATTTGCTTACTAACTAACAGTTCGATTATGTAACACTGGTGGAAATTGTGTTATGTTTACTTTACGACTGCGTTATGTTATTTTTTGTAACCAAAAAAAAAGTTTTTTTTTATATAGAGTTAGATGCTGCGGTCTATAGACATCTACATCTATTCTCGATTAAGAATCAAAATGCAGATGCGTTGTCACGCCTGAGGACTATAAGATGGAATGCGTCGTTTCCAGTTAAAAGGGGTGTCTGGTTCTCTACACTCACCATACGAAACACAGCAGTATTAAGCTGCTCTTTTACGTCTGGTATTCTGTGAGATCGTGGTCCTTCCCCGGTCGATCCGACCCATTCGTGCTACAACCATAATATAGCAGCTCTACCATGTATAAAAAGAAGATGTTAAAATAAAGTAGACATCGGCTTATAATTGATACTGAAATATTACACAATGGCGGCCTCGTTAGTCTAATGGTCGTAAGCATGACTGTTGATCATGTGGATCGAATCGCGGCTCGTATCAAAATCAGTTACTGCCGTTTTCTGTCAAGAAATTCTCAGTAGCAATCAGGAGTCAGGAAGTTGACGGTGTTTGCAGCTCTTTGCCCCGAAAAACAAGAAAAAAACCATTGATCCTGTACCTGTTCTCTCTCTAGTCATGTAGGATTGCCGTGACATTGAACTATGAGAGTGAGGAAATAGATTTTCTATCAACTGTGCTTACGCCCACACTCGTGCACTTCAATCCTGTCCTGCACAGATGACTAGTCCCATTGTCAGTGGCCGTCTTTACCGAAATTCGTTCCGGTGAACTTTATTTACGCAATACAACGAAACCAAATGTCTCACGTCAAAACTAAGCTAACCACGATATTTACTAAAGTTAAAAAATTACACTGCTAGCCCTACAACGCTTCAAACCGGAACAAATCTCGGTATACCAAGATTTTCGATAGTTAGGGGGTTAGTAAGAGCGAGTACGATATATGTTCATGTATGTTTAATCTCTTACCGTTTTGAGGGAGTATTTGCGTACTTCGTTTGTTGCAATCTGTTTGACGGAGTGCAACTCCACGTACAACGCCATGTTGGGCTCGGCAACGCGCTGCACTACTCGGCCGCCATTCGTATCAGCAAAGTGTATCGGATCGAAAATTAAAATCTGTGAACAATAGTTGATAACCTAACGACTTGATGAATATTTTGTTGGGCTCTTCACTCAGAGTTATTGTAGATATGCTAAGATTTAAACTTCGTGTCAAAGTAATTTCTAATTGGATCTCAGGATTTGATCTTATTAGGAAATTATCTAACTAACAATAGATAGGTCAATATTATAAGGAAGAATTACTATTTAACCTAAAAATCGGCTAGCATAATTCAAATGTTCGTTCTCCTCGTTTAGCCACCCAGAATTACGATGGGGGTCAACTTTAATCCAATCCAATCTAAATAGTATTCGTGGGTTTAGAGTAATTACGCCTAATACTTCTGTAATGTTCGTGGGTATTGTAAAAGGTGACTATGGCAAATGTCAAATATAACTATCTCGATTAAGTCAGTTAGACATATTATGTCATTCATACATTTCTAGTGACCCGATCATTCAAATATTGTTTCGTCACACGAACCGGGACATTCGGGACGATCATTCGAATGGATCATTTCGAATTTCAACACTCTGTGATCTGTGAGATCCGCTCGATTCTGTCGGTCGTCGGAGATTACTATACTCTTTGGTCGGTGGCGATTCGCGATCGTAGTTTCGATCGAACACAAATATTTTTTTTATTTTACTGTTCATTTATTGCAATGTTCTGAACTTTACTGTGTGTAAATTATTTAATATTTTGAATAAAATTTACTATTTAATAAATGAAATGCTTTTGTATCTTATATATTCGGTAAATATGTAGGTCCTGTCAATCGTTTGATCCGGAACATTCAAAAAATATAATTGCAATCATCTATACTTTGATGCGACCCGGGTCTAATGAACAACGCATTCACGATTGACATATGTCTAAAGTCAGTCGTAATGGAGTAATAGTGTTCTGTGGTCGTAATTCCCAGACCGGCGAGCAATGACGTGCGAGACGTTTATTGGCACTGCGATCGTTAATCTTAAGGCATAGTCACCCTGGATATGCCCAGCAATGGGCTATAAATTTTATTTGTTGTGTATATTTTGAATGGATATTTAAGGTGTGAAATATAATTTATGTACCGTTTCCGAATATCAAATATCACACTTCTTGCCGCCACATTCATACGAATAAAAGTAAAATTTACTTAGTTTTAATTTTTCCTCATTACAAAACAAAACCAAGACAGAATATAGCACTTAAAAATTGGAATTTTTTTTTATAGAATAAGATTAACAGACGAAGATATCGTCCACCTGATAGTAAAATGATGCTGTGGCTCATTTAAACATCTTTATCTGTCCTCGATTAAGAATCAACATGCATTGTTACCCATAAGGACTAAGATGGAATGCTTCGTTTCTAGTAAAAAGGGTCTCCGGTTCTCTATTAAGCTCCAATGCTATGGACAAAGATAAAGAAGTTCCAGACTAGACCTAAACACATATTAAGGGTGAGGGTAGATTATTAATAAGCGGTTAAACACCACTGTAAAGCAGTGTAAAGAACTGCGCAGACAACTAGCTTGGGTCCGTCGTGGTAATTAACAGTGAGGCTGGTATAGTGACGGGCGGTGTTGCCGTTGGTTTGCATATTTCATTTATTATTGTGATATATTATAACTTAAAGTATTTTCTCAGTAGTGTTAATTTATTTAAATAGTTAATGCCCAAATACTCAAACGCTACTCAAGTTTAAGATGCCGTTAAGTCTGTTGGTGTCACAGTCACTTTGATTTAAAGTGATAGAGACAGCACGAGATTTAACGGTATAATTTCTCTACGTGGTAGAGCCATGCTGCAACTATATTAGTAGTATAGTTGTAGCACGAATGGGTCGGCTCGACCGGGGAAGAAACACGCTCTCACAGAATACCAGCGTAAAATAGCAGCTTAACGCTGCCGTGTTTCGTATGGTGAGTGTAGAGAACCGGAGACCCTTTTTACTGGAAACCAGGCATTCCATCTTAGTCCTCACGGGTCTGCACCTGCATTTTGATTCGTAATGGAAGATAGATGTAGATGTCTATGGGCCACAGCAACCAGTTACCATTAGGTGGACTGAGTGCTTGTTTGTCACCCTATCTTATAAAAAAAATATCTTAAAAATGAGCAGCGTTTGAGTATTTGGCCATAAGAATATTATTTAACACACAACAGAGTAACCAATGCATGTAAAAATAGGGTACCCACACTTACATCTAATCCGTAAACATGGCGTGTTGTATACGCGTAGTCTTCTATTAGGGGGTCCATTACTAGATTTAAACCGTGTAAGGACCCTGGTTGGGATTGTCTCATAACACGTTTAATCTTTTGACTGGGTCTGTGGAATTAAACAGATAAATTATAATTTCTAGGCCAATTATAATTATCTTATATTGATGGCAGATATTACAATACCCTGTACAGCGCTATCGTCGCGCCACCACAGTGTAAAAACGAAATGAAACCAGAAATTTCCGGACGAGTCTGGTAGAATAAACTCCATATTAAAATACCTTGTACAGCGCTGTCGTCGCGCCATCACAGTGTAAAAACGAAATGAAACCAGCAATTTCCGGATGAGTCTGGTAGAATAAGCTCCATATTAAAATACCTTGTACAGCGCTGTCGTCACGTCACCACAGTGTAAAAACGAAATGAAACCAGTAATTTCCGGACGAGTCTGGTAGCATAAGCTCCATGTTAAAATACCTTGTACAGCGCTGTCGTCGCGCCATCACAGTGTAAAAACGAAATGAAACACAGCCGTTTTTACTCAAGCCTTTTAGGGGAATTCATCAGTGTACGCAATTTTGGTGAGAAATTTATGTATTATCACAATACTATCATCATTAGGACCCATCACAAGTTCACCACTGAATACATAGGCCTCCTCTAAGGAATGCCACAGAGCACGACCCTGAGCCACCTGCATCCATCCACCTTCTGGATGTCATATCAGATCATCACTTAATTAAGTGTCACCTTAATCCTCAATTCTTGCTTATATATAATATGTGTAATTAGTTTCTCGGAAACGGCGCAAACTATTTGGATGAAATTTTGTAATAAGATATTTTTTTTACATACAATAAGGTTGACAAACGAGCACACATCTCACCTGTTATAGAGTAGATTATGAAGCCCGGAGACATCTACGTCTATGCTCGATTAGGAATCAAAATGACTAAGATGGAATGCCTCGTTTCCAATATAAAGGGTATCGGCGGTTACACTCACCGTACGAAACTATTCTGTGAGAGCGCGGTCGAGCCGAATCATTAATGTTTCATTCATTATATATCTGCAGCATGGCTCTACTACGTAAAATTTTGTGAGTTTTATTTTACATGTTACAGTATAGTGGTATCCCAGCGAATTTTTTCTAACACCGAGTGAATTCCGGGCTCATAATTTAAGAAGAAAAAAAGTAAATATATTTACTTTAAACTTACATCCCATCCGCATCGTAATCCAGGATATAGTTAAATGCGCAGCAGTGTCCCTTTATAGTTCGACGGACTTTAAAAATGCTTTTGCAGTCTATTACCTTACTTGCCCACGTACATTTAATTAACATTTCCTCGCAGCTAGGCGCTAGCTAAAGACGACAGACTTAATTGTAGCACCATTATAATTAGTATTTTAAAAAAACTTATGCTAAACTATGTTTAAAAAAAACACTTTACAAGTCATCTATTGGTCCATTGCTGAACATAGACATTCCCCAAATAATGCCACATAGCACGGGCCTGATCCACCTGCATCCATTGACTTCCTGCATGTCTTACCAGGTCGTCACTATATCTTTTGGTGGTCCGTCCTACACTCCGCATGCTGGTACCTAGGCTTTTATCATTCACGCATATTTGACAACTTCCAGCCTTCTTGAAAAACTCGGTCAAAAAAGCTAAAGTACTATAGACCATCCGAAAAGGCCATCCATCTACCATGAAATTCTTCCTGCTCCGCGATCATGCCATAGTAGTTCTTAAGGGTAAGTAGATAGATACCTTCACTAAGCATGTAGCTGTGTGGTAATTATGAGAGTATTTCATCCCGCGGGTGTAGTAACAAGTTGCTATGGGCGACGCCAGTAAGTACACATGGCCACTGTGCTATTTACTAGTTTTGTCGTCGCACAACTTCTTCGCTCTAAATCTTCTAGCGCTCGCTGTAAATTTCACAGTACGCGAGCAATCCGGGTTTGATCCCCGATAAAAATGAAATTGTTAATTGCAATTTTAAGTGCTGATTTACCACGTGCTCGGCGGTGAAGAAAAATTTCGCGAGGAAACCAGCATGTCTGAGAAATAAGAAAAAAAATTTGGAAAACATGTGAAGTTCGTCAACACGCATCGGGGCATCGCGGCGGACATTTTCTTGCCCTTAAACATTCTCAGAAATGAGAGGAGGCCTGTGCTCAGCAGTGGGACGTATAATATGCTGCAACTTAACTTTTAATAACTTCTTCGTGGAATCGTTAACAACTGGAGCTACCATTTTACGGAATACTTAGGGACCTTCAAGAAATGAGCTTACTTCTTTTTAAAAGGGCAGCGACGTACTTACGATTCCCCTGGTGTTGCAGTTATTCATGGGTGGCGGTCGACACTTACCATTAGGCGAGCCGCATGCTCGTTTGCCCCCTCTCCTTAAAAAATACATGGTCTCCGAATCTTCGATATTGATGAGGCAAAGCTAAGTTGCAGCTATATCATGGCTACAACACGAACGAGCTCGACCGAAAAAAAGGTCACGCTCCCATAGTACAAATCCACTGATAAACATAGGCCTCCGGCATGGAATGCCACAAGGCACGGTCCTGGGTCACCTACATCAATCGACTTCCTGCACCTTCCGCCAGCTCGTCACTCCACCTAGTAGGGAGCCGCTCTACACTACGCATAGCGGTACGAGGCTGCCACTCGAGAACCTTTCTTCCCTATCAGTTGTCAGTTCTTCAAGCTATATGACCGGCTCATTGCCTCTTCAGCTTATTGATTCTCGGAGCAGCGTCATAGCTCCGAGACATTTGATACAGAAAACCTATTTACAAGAGAGATGCATGTTCAGTAGTTAACTGATACGGTAGGCGTATTACGTATCTTGCAGAAGGCTAGCGATAGCGAAATTAAAACAATAATTGCTGATAAATCGCAGATATGTATTTTTCGACCAGCGATAACCAAGCCCTAGCTAACTAACGACTACAAGGCAGCGATGTCGCTAGTTAGCTTGGTTATCGCTGATACATTATAGGAATCTGCGATTTATCAGCAATTATTGTTTTAATTTCGCTATCGCTAGCCTTCTGCAAGATACGTAATACGCCTACTGCCAGAAGAGTGTAAGCAGCAATAAATCCACCGTTGTGCTCTTTTCACGGTCAATATAATTAGCCCTAAAAATCCACAGTTAGACGTTGGTCTTTCCCGTAGCAGGGAGAATTTGCCTTAATCGTCCCGCTAGATAGGTGGATAGACAATCCCACTATTGTGTAAACAGAGGCAGTATAGTTCGTTTTTTTTATAGGATAAGGGCGACAAGCGAACACACAGTCCACCTGATGGTAAGTGGTTGCTGTGGCCCATAGACATCTTCATCTATATTTGCTAATCGAAATGCAGATGCGTTGTCAGCCATGAGGACTAATATGGAATGCCTCTTTTCTAGTAAAATGGGTCTAGTAAATGTTTTATAACTGATAACGTAAAATTGGATTTAGTTGCAAGTGTCCATGGGCTCTCACTACCAAGCGGATTGCACTTTCTTCTATCACTATAATTAACTGTATATTTAAAAATCAATACCTAGGGGTTTTTTGTGCGGTAAGCAAAATTAGTGTCCTGTATGCATCGTTAAATTGGCGATTCGTCTTATTAGTTATTAGTACAAAGTACATACTTTTTTCATGGTGTCAATTACGTTTGGAGCATGCCTTAATGTTGGTGCGTACTCTGAGTTTAAGTGGAGACGGCTTCTGAGAGTTACGTTGTAAGTGTAATCTATTAGTCCGCCGAATTGCCACGTCATCATTTCTCTTATATTCCCCTTAACTGTTCTATTTAATCTACAAATCAATAATCAGTAAACATTATAAAAGATGTGTGGTGACGATAGAATAAGGCTGCTGCCTTACCAAAATGGCTTGTAGGAACAAACCATTTTTTGCAAACAGTGTCAACTTGTTAGGAGAGTGTGTGCAAATGCAAGTAACCCGGGTTCGATCCCCTCCAGCACCAGTGAATTTGTTAATTGCAATTTTTGCTCGGCTGTGAAGGAAAACATCGTGAGGAAGCCTGCATGTCTGAGAAATAAGAAAAAAAAATATTTTTAAAGACATATGAACTTCGCCTACACGCATTGGGGCAGCGCGGTGGATACTTTCTTACCCTAAAACCGTAACTTATATAGGCGGTAACTTTAACTTTTTAACATTAACGTAAAATTATACAAATACTAGCTGCGCCCCGCGGGTTCACCCGCGTTAGTCCGATATCGTGATAAAAGGTGTCTATGTCTTTCTCTGAAGTTCCATCTATCTCTATACCAAAATTCATTAAAATCGGTTCAGCGCTTTACTAGGGCACACTGAAATGATCGGAAATAGAATATTTCGGATTAATTTACAATAAAACGTTTTTTAGAATTTGAATACTGGCCTCTTAGAATCTTAATAACATTCAAACAATAAAAAAAGGTTTAAAAACAAATACTATGTTGGTTTAAAGTTTACACGTCGTTAACAGGAATGGAGCTCACGCGTGAACATTTCCGTGCCATAATTTATCACAATTTTCGTCGCGGCTTATCTCAAGATAAATGTCTCAGCGAACTTGTTTCGATTTATGATGTTGAAGCACCGAGTTAAGCGACAATATACCGCTGGTATGCAGAGTTCCGACGCGGTCGTGTGTCGCTCAGCACTGTTTCTTCTGCAGGTCAACCAAAAACAGCGGTCACGCCTGAAAACGTCGCAGCTGTGCGAACTATTATATTAGATGACCGTCATGTAACATACGAGCAGATTCGGGCTGTTATTAGTATCGGAATGACTGCAATTCAGTCGATATTACATAATGAGCTGTGTGTAAGAAAGCTAGTTTCCCGCTGGGTTGCCCACAATTTGTCCGAAGAGCAAAAGGCGGCTCGTGTATATTGGTGTCGGAATACTCTGCAACGCTTCAACGGAGGGAAGTCTAATGCCGTTTATAATATTGTCTCAGGTGACGAATCATGGATTTATTCATACGAATCTGAAAGAAAACATCAGTCAGCAGTTTTGGTCTTCGAAGACGAGGTCAAACCAACGAAAGTGGTTCGTTCCCGCAGCGTGTCAAAGAAAATGGTTTCTACGTTTGTCTTGAAAAAGGGGCATGTTATTACAATTCCTTGACAGGAACGTGGAACGGTTACCGCTGAGTAGTATATCACGGTTTGTTTGCCAGAAATGATTGCCGAACTCTGAAAAAATAACCTGAAACGTCGCATCATCTTACATCACGATAATGCGAGCTCCCATACGGCTCAGAAGACAAATGATTTTTTGGAGCAGGAAAACGTTGAGCTGATGATTCATCCTCCGTACAGTCCTGACCTGAGCCCAAACGATTTCTTTACATTCCCTAGAATGAAAGATTTATTACGCGGTCAATGGTTTGAATACCCCGAAGCAGCTGTGACAAATCAGCCATTTAGTCAACATTAACTTCAGACTGGAATTACTGTTTTAATGATTGGTTTGCATGAATGGAAAAGTGCATTAAGTTGAATGGAGAATACTTTGAAAAACAATAAAATACAATTTAGCTATACCGTGCATGTGGTTTTTCTTATTCCCGATCATTTCAGTGTGCCCCTCGTAGGCGTGAAAGCGTAGCAAACAAGCAAATAAACAAACTCACTTTCGAATTTATAATATTGTTTAGAATTAGGATAATGGATTAAATATGGACACAAAAAATCTAAGACGTTTATGATTCTGAGCCGTTCTGATTGTAGTCATAAAACGTTGATATTAATTGACTGTTTATTTTGGTTTCACATGTCGGCGACTTGTTTGTAATTGATAATAATCCTTGCATTGGACTAGAGACACTGCACTCATGTTTTTGACTTGTTTGTGTTTTTGTTGGTCGCTTGCCGAAGCTTGGCAAGAGTCTGAAGCAACTTTAATAGAATTTAAATTTAAAATTTTTTCCTTCCGTGGGCCGTGGGTGTCATTGAAATTGATAAAAGAAGTAATGTATTTAGATTGGTATCGTGGAGGAGCAATAAGGAGCGAGATGTTTATTTACAGGATAATGTTTTTACGATACAGTACAATATCCTTGTTTCAAAATTAAGAAAATTAAGAACATTAGCCCATAGCAACATATTACCTAAAAATATATAAAAATATAAACATAACACTATTTAGGGAATTTTCTTCTTTGGAGCGTTACTGCATCGGCGACTACCCTAGAGCGCCAGAAATCTGTAGGGAGGAATCTCCCTTTGCATTTTGTAGGAACCTAGACTACGTAGGGTTTGAAGTTCATTGATCCAATAGACTCCAGACGCTGCAAATGTATAGAGATCGGATGCAGTATGCGTCATCGGCCTCGTTCTTCCACAAAACGCAGGACGTGTTTTTCCGACGTACTTTTGTCCAAACGGAAGATGTAGAGCTGTCTGGTGGGTTCCACAGCAAAAGTTGTACTTGTGGTTATTTTGGTGGTCCCACGCTGGTTAAAGACGTGTCTCGACCGACGTCTCCCTCCAACAACATGAGAGGAGACATCGGTCTTATTAATAATGATAAGAGTACAAAATAAAACGTTGGACAAATTTTGTAACATAATATTGTTAAGTCATGTAAGAAGCTTAATTAAAGGCGATTTGTTCTAACGAACTGGTTTTATCTACGCCGTAGATTGTCCGGTAAAAATCAAATGCATAAAAGTGATTGTTTTCCCTTCAGATTGAGCTGATGGGGCGCTAGTAGCTTAGCGCTTAAATGCTTATAATTAAAATGATGCTTACATAATTTAAAATAAAAAAAATTTGTACAGCCCACTTCAATATAAGTTATTAAGAATAACTCAAAACCTATTGGTTTGACCTTGATCAAATTCATATGGGACCACACGAGAAGTACCAGATTTCAAATAAAAAAAGAATCATCGAAATCGGTTCACCCAGTAAAAAGTTATGAGGTAACACACATAAAAAAACATACAGTCGAATTGAGTACCGTCTCCTTTTTGGAAGTCGGCAGAAAAGCAACCCATGTATTAAGTACGGAACGCTTCTTCGCTGTACAGATATTTTTTCTAAATATAGGTAATGTGTGAGCACTGAGGGACCATGCCGGGAATTCACGAAATGAATTGCTAAGGATTTAGTAGTAGGCCTAAAACAATTTTCGAACAAATCCTGGAATTTGTAAAACAATATATAAAAAGTTACAGTCCTTAAAGTGTGGTCCCTCAGTTGACACAGTCTATCAGCCAGATCTCGAAATGAAGTTAATGTTGTGACAGATATTTAGTAAAGAGTTTGTAAAGCTTATTTTACTTAATATCAAGACACAACGTGTTAAAGATAAAAGAAACAAATAATATCTAAGCTGTGAACTAGGTGATGGGCAAAAGCATTTTCCTGATAATGGGTGAATAAAACTCTGCGTTAGGAAACCCGCTTGCCAAGCGTGGCAACTAAAGTCTAATACTTACGTCTTCGTCTCAAATTCAAACATAGCTTTCTTGCTTATTCTGTTTATATTACAGATAGCTATAGCCGGGAAGTCTATTTCCGATATAGGATACTTTGATGACTCCTTTGACACAATTAGTGGTGTGGACAGGCCCTTCAACCACATGTACCAGAAAAAGTAAAACACCATTCCGCACATGCCAGCAAAAACTAACATCCAGATAATTCTGAAATATTTTTGGTTCCTTAGTAATCCTCTGAGATTTTTGGATGATTTTAATGTTTATTATGATTTCACTATTTATGCAAGTGAATATTAAAATGTTTATAAATAAATAAGGGTGATATAACCATCATCATTACAGCCCTTCACAAGTCCACTGCTAAACATAGCCCCCCCCCCCCCAAGGAATGCCACAAAGTACGGTCCTGAGTCACCTGCATCCATCGACTTCCTGCATATCTTACCAGGTCGTCACTCCATCTAGTGGGGGGACGCCCTACACTTCGTCCGACGGTACGAGGCCGCCACTCGAGAACCTTTTTTCCCCATCGGTTGTCGGTTCTTCGAGCTATATGGCCGGCCCATTGCCACTTCAGCTTACTAATCCGTTGGGCTATGTCGGTCACTCTGGTTCTACTGCGGATATTGTTTCTCCGCATTTCTAAGTTTATCACGCAGAGAAACTCCGAGCATAGCCCTCTCCATAGCTCGCTGAGCGACCTTGAGTTTCCTCATCCGGCCAGAAGTGAAGGACAACGTCTCAGCTCCATAGGTCATTACTGCCAACACGCACTGGTTGTACAGTCTCGTTTTCAAGTTTTGAGGTATACCTGACGAGAAGATATCTCGTAATTTCCAGAACGCTGCCCAACCGAGTTGAATCCGTCGATTGACCTCTCGGTTGAAGTTGGGCTTACCTAGTCGGACCATTTGTTCCAGGTAAACATACTCGTCAACAACTTCGAGCTTAGTGTCCTCAACAACTACCGGCATAGGTGTGACATGGACATTAAACATGATCTTTGTTTTGTCCATGTTCATCTTAAGACCTATCCGTTGGGAAACACTATTGAGGTCATTGAGCATAGTGCTTAGGTCCTTCAGCGATTCTGCCATAAGGACTATATCGTCGGCAAATCGAAGGTGGCCATTGATGTTGATACCGTATTCTTTCCAGTCCAGAAGCTTGAAAACGTCTTCCAATGCAGCGGTGAAGAATTTCAGGGATATAATGTCACCCTGTCTTACACCTTGCTGCAATTGGATAGGTTTCGTACTCTGGTTCTGTACTCGGATAGCCATCGTAGCCCTACTGTACAAGCACTTCAACACTTCGATATACATCAACAGTCAATTTGGCACCGCTAAAGGGACTGCAGCACTGCCCAAATTTCGACGGAATCAAAGGCTTTCTCATAGTACACAAAGGTACGCCAGACATAGTGGCAAATTGTACTCCTCGGACTTCTGTACAATTTGCCGAAGGGTATGAATGTAGTCTATGGTGATAAAGCCTTTTCGGAAACCGGCTTGTTCCTTATATAATAATAAAATAATGGTGATTGTGGAGTAAGATGTCATAATACCTTTGTTTGAGCGCAATAGTAGGGTCTATCATCTGTTTCACACCGGCAATGGAGCAGTTATTTATGAATTCTGTAAAACATTTCTTGATAACATCTCGTAAAAGTAATTCTACACTAATCTTTCTACGTGGACGGAATCGTCTTCGTCTGTATTCGTGCCACCATAAATCTCCGCGTTTCGTCATTTTAAAACTTTTAAACAATATTTTTTATTGATTAATTACAAAAACAAATGTGCACGTGATTAGAATCACTGAACGAATGTTTTGTTAGTGAAAGGTCAGCGAGGAATGGAGATTTTAGATAGTATAAAACAAAAGTTATACACAGAATAGAGTACCCGTGAAGCTCCGTAGGATCGTATAATTTACATCGTATTTAATTAGAAGCTTTTTTTATATTATAAGGGTGACAAACGAGCATACGTGTTTTTCTACGTGGTAGAGCCATGCTGCAGCTATATTTTGGTTGTATTACGAATGGGTCGGCTCGAACGGGGAAGGACCACGCTCTCACAGAAAACCAGCGTAAAATAGCAGCATAACGCTGCTGTGTTTCGTATGGTGAGTGTAGAGAACCGGAGACCCTTTTTACTGGCAAAGAGGCATTCCATCTTAGTCCTCACGGGTGACAACGCATCTGCATCTTGAGTCTTTATTGAGGATAGATGTAGATGTCTATGGGTCACAGTAACCATTTACCATCAGGTGGACTGTAGGTAGATAGACAGGACCTGACAGTAGGTAGATGCCGTGGCTCATAGACATCTACATTTATCCTCGATTAAGAATCAAAATACAGATGCGCTGTCACTACTGAGTATTCAGATGGAATGCCTCATTTCCAGTAAAATGGGTCTCCGTTTCTCTACACTCACCATACGAAATACAACAGCATTAAACTGCTATTTTACGCTGGTATTTTGTGAGAGCGCGGTCCTACACCGGTTGAGCCGACCCTTCCGGGCTACCACCATAATATACTTAGTTGTGTAAATGGCTCTTTAGAAATGAAGCCATGAGGATTTAAAAACTCTTTTGCCTGGCAGTTATTTTATCGGATAGGTGGTCCCCTCATACCTATATATTTGCCAACGAGAGTACCAATTGGAGTCAATATAATTACTGGCAGTTAGATTTTGCTTAAAAACGAAAACTAAAATGTTTGTTCCACCATAAGTGACCGAATTTCGGTCACGGCGGCTAACTCCAACGGAGACTAGCCATTTCCGCAGGACAGGATTATTGTGCCTGAGTGTATTTGTAAACACAACGCTCTCTATTACTTTACTCTCATAGTCCGATGGGACGGTAATTCGACGCAACCGGAGAGAGATTAGATGCAGGACCAACGACTTCACTTGCTTTCTGAGACATTTGGGTAAAACACCGCCAAACTCTTGTTTCCGGGTTACTACTGAGAATTTCTTGACAGAAAAAACAATAATTTATTTTGGATCGATCTGGGATTCGAACCTGGGACCTCATGATCAGCAATCGCGTTTACAGCCTCTAGATCGATGTGGAAGACAATGAAAACTACGAGTATAAATGTTACTAATAGGTATACTTTTTAAAATAATTTTCATAATTAACTATCTTGCAAATTATGGCTCTAGAAGGATATCGTTTGCTTTCAAAAATTATTTTATTAAGAAAGTATAGGAAGTTGAATGCATATTTTCAATATTCGTAGATTATTTTTATAGATATATCGTGCGGAACACTAAAAGCATATCGCATGTTTCAGTGCGATTTAAGCCTTATTCATTTTTAAATTTTAATTTCCCGACACGATGCACGCTGAAATGTTAGTATTGAATCGTGGTGAAATTAAAAACTAAATAGTAATGATATGTTTACAAAAAATGAAACTATTTTTACTACGAGTTGTACCCCTGCCACATTGTTAAAAAACTTCGCAGTTTAAAGCAGTAACAATGCGGAATAATAGAAGAAGCGGTTGCGCTATGTTATAACATAACATAACATAAACACTCACGCCTGTCACCCAGAGGGGTAGGCAGAGATTATGGACTTCCATTTGGCACGATCCTGACACACCTCTCTCGCTTCCTCCACATCCATATACCTACGCATACACGCTCGTCGGTTAAAGGTTCTCTTGATTTGGCCCATTTTTAATATATCGCCAATTTGGTCGATAAACTTTCGCCTAGGGCGACCCTTCCCGACTATACCGTTCACCTCTGCAACATAAATTTGCTTTGTCACTCTTTCCTCATTCATTCTTTCTACATGGCCAAACCACCGAAGCATTCCTTTCTTAATCCTGGTCACAACATCATCTTGCAAACCACACTCTTCTCTTATTAAACAATTTCTCACTCTGTCATTCAGCTTCATCCCTAACATACTCCTTAATGACCGCATTTCTACAGCATTTATTCTACTCTCGTGCTTCTTCTGCCACACCCAACTTTCACTACCATACATTAAAGTAGGTACTAACACAGCATTGTGAATTGCCATACGTACCTTTTTGGACACATTCTGACTTTTCACAATAGAGTGTAGAGCCCCATTCACTCTATTTCCTGCATTCACTCGTCGTTCTATATCCTTATCATATCTACCATCCCTGCTAAACACACATCCCAAATATACAAACTCATCTACTTGCTCTACCAACTCCCCTTCTATTCTTATTTCACATATCGTTTTACTTTCTTCTCTTTCAAAAACCATAACTTTCGTCTTACTTGCGTTCACTTTCATTCCCTTTTCTTTTAATGTCCTGTTCATTAATGTAACCATCATTTGCAACTCGGCTGCCGACGATGCAAGTATGACTTGATCATCGGCGTACAAAAGGCATTTGACGGTTAACTCACCCATTCTTAACCCGCATTCTTCTACTTTCAAATTTTCCAAACAACTGTCCATAAATAGGTTGAACAACCACGGGGAAGCCACACAGCCCTGTCTGACACCTTTATGGATGCCAAACCAGTCCGAGTAGGTCCCGTTGATCCTGACACAAGCACTAGAGTCCCTATATAGAGACTTCAATGCCTGTATCAGACCAGCGATCAACCCAAATGAGTTCAGTGTTTGCCATAACACATCCCTGTCCACTCTGTCATAAGCCTTCTCCAAGTCTATGAACGCACAAAAATCTTTTGGTTTTTGGCCAAAAACTTCTCCGCGATCATGCGCATGGAAAAGACCTGATCCGTACATCCCATTCCCTTTCTAAATCCCGCTTGCAAATTTTTCCATCAGTTTCTTTCATAACTCTTTCAATTAGTACCTTAGCATACAGTTTTCCCACAATGCTAAGAAGTCTGATACCACGGTAGCTTTTACAGTCCTGCTGTGATCCTTTTCCCTTATATATTGGGACTATCACGGCTTTGCACCAGTCTCCCGGTACCCGCTTAAGTTCTCAACATAAATTAAACAAGGTGTACAGCAGGTCTGCCACTACTCCTTCTCCAGCCCTTAGCATTTCGAGAGATACTCTATCATAACCGGCTGCCTTACCTGCTTTCATACTTTTCATTGCTTTCATTATTTCATCTATACTTATATCTCTATCTCTTTCCTCTTCTTTCGGAATTTCTATTTCATTTAATTCAAACGTCTCATCACTCATAAACACGCTTTCAAAGTATTCCTTCCATCTCCTTAAACTCAAAACTTCGTCATTCAGAATACAGCCATTCTGGTCTCGTATAGCATTCATTCTAGGCTGTTGTGAATGTCCCCTGGTAGTTCCTACGAGTTTCCAGAACATTTTAATGTTTGCCTGGAAGTTATCCGATATTCTTCTATCATTCTTATCCGTTCTTTCTTGCTTTTTCCTTTCAACTACTTCTTTTACTCTCTTATTTAGGTGTCTAAAAACTGCCTTTTTCCTTTCAATATCATCATTCATACTGCTAGAATTACTAGCCTTGGTTGCTAGTAAATCTAGCCATGCTTTCTTCTTTGCTTCAACTTCCATCCGTACCTCATCATCCCACCATAACGTGTTATTTTTCCTTTCAATCGTTCTCTTACTTACACCACATACTTCGGTAGCTGCATCCACTAAACCTTTCTTGACATTATACCACACAGTCTCCAAGTCTAAATCATTCATACACAATTCAGCCATACCACTTATATTTTCTCTCAATCTACATTTGAACTTCTTTTTCACACCTTCATCTTGTAACCTCTCTGTTCTTATACGCTGTAACGCAGTGGTAGACACAGATGTCCGATGCCTCCAACGTCTGAAAAGACCATCAATTCGGCATAAGAATAGGAAATCGAGGTGGTGGAGTGGCGATCTACCTTCGCTGTGGTATCCCTTATAAAGTTATTGCATCTTCTCCCTCTATAGCGTCTGGATCTCTTGAGTATCTCTTTGTAGAAGTTCTCCTAAATGGAAACAAAATTATTCTTGGAGTTGTGTATTCTCCGCCCTCAGTTAACTACTTTCATGACCTTGAGTCCGCTCTCTCGAAAATTGCATCTGAGTACGCACATCACATAATTATGGGCGATTTCAATACGGACCTTTTGCGCAGCTCCTCTAGATCGCGAGAACTACGAATGATCATGAATTCAGTAAATTTCTTTATTCTCCCGCTTGGGCCCACGCATTCTAATAATAACACTGCTGATTCATGGTTAGATTTGATAATCGTTTCGTCTACTGAACATGTTGTAAATCATGGGCAGTTTCCGGCTTCTGGCTTCTCGCGGCATAATTTTTTATTTATTACCTATCGAATCAAATCGCCAAAAGTTACCCCAACTGTTTTGCGCCTGCGTAGCTTTGCGACTATGGATGTGGAGTTATTGAAACGGAAGGCTGCCTCAATTGACTGGTCAGATATTTTTTATACATCTGATGTAAATCATATGGTAGAGACACTAACTAGTAATATCCTTCAGTTATTCGATGCAGTAGCCCCGATACGCAATGTAAAGATCAAGCGCCCTCCAGCACCGTGGATGGACAGTGATATCCGTAAAGCAATGGCAAAACGTGATCGGGCTTTTGTAAGATTTAAAAACAATCGCTGTGATGCCAACTGGAATATATATAAAGCTACCAGAAACAAATGCAATCAGATGGTTCGAGCTGCAAAACGCCGACATATTCATAAGAACATTTTAAGCTCTTCGCCAGCCGGCATTTGGAAGTTTCTTAATTCACTTGGGTTAGGTAAACAAATGAATTGCCC